ATTTTATTTTATGGATTCTAACTACTATGCTGTGTCCTCTTTCTTTTAGTGCAGGAGCGGCGGTAGCGGAAGTCAACGATGGAAGCGGGAGTTCAAGCTACCACGGGGGGACTTCCTCTCACTTCGTAAGTTTCAGTTCCAGTTTCCCTTTATTTTATTTTCTGGATTCTAACTACTATGCTGTGTCCTCTTTCTTTTAGTGCAGGAGCGGCGGCAGCAGGAGTCAACGATGGAAGAGGGAGTTCAAGCTACCACGGGGGACTGCCTGGCGGGGAGCGGACGCCATCACTTCACGAATTTCCTCTCCTCTCTGCTTCCAGTCCAGCGTCCCATGTCAGGTGGAGAGACAACCAGCCAGCATGGGGATCTGCTCCAACTCGTCTCCGACGTTAGAATAGACTCGTTAGAGACGGACACGATACAGTCGCGTAGAACTGACCACGGAACAGACTGACAGGCTCGAAAAGCCCGGCACGGTATGCCGCGGCTGGTTGGTTTCGATGGGGCGTGGTACGATTCGATTAGCCGCGGTACTGTACGATGTGCCGCGGCGAAGTTAGCTTGGTAAGATGTTTTGCTGTGCCAGGTATGCTGCAGATTGTCTGACATCAGTGCGACTCGAGGAGTCCCACCTGACATCTGACAGCCCGACATCCGAGGCGGTTTTCTGCCCGTGGAAGTACAATTCATAATTCCCCCCCAATTAGTTTTCATTCTTTTCCCCCTTCCTTCCTCCCGCTCCCCCTATCCCTCCCTCCCCCCCTAGGTGTCCCGTGCGAAAAACCCCCACCTCAACGCGGTGCATGGGTGAAACGCTAGAGGCTTTGCCTCTAGCGGCCAAGAGGGGTCAAGACTCAAGCCTCAAGACTCAAGACTCCAGAACAAGTGGAGCAGCAGCAGCAGAAGATCGGCCTTTCGTCGTACCAGAATCTGAAGCTGGTTGTAGTCCCTAGTGGAGATCGCTTCCTTGTATGTGTGTGAAATGTTCTATACGATAATTTTTTCATCTTGACCACGGAATACCAATCCCTCAGGGGAGGACTACTAGACTCGCACGATCGAACAAACAGAAAGCACCATTGAAATCGTTGACTAGCAACCTTTTCCTTGGGAACGGCGATTATAACTCTCAAATTCTCCTCGAGCACTAAGGGTGCATTCCTGCGGGGACACTTGTGTCTCAATCCCCGATTTCCCGAGTCGCGCCTGTAAATTTGCCAAATGTTGTGTCACAAACAACCAATGTATCGCGACTCTAGGCGACCAGGCGAGATGTACAGTTGTGCGCATTTGTTTGGGTGACACAAATGACTGTACATCCCTTTTTTCAACCGCTTGGCTTGGGTGTGGTTTCGACGAGCGGGATTTTTTCCCGCACGAAATTGGCATTGCAGGCTGTCCAGGTGCATTGACATTTCGAGCCGCGTGCGAATTTTTCACATTGACGAGTCGGATTACAATTCGTCAGCGACGTCAGCGCGTTTCACGCTGACCAATAAAAAATACAGTAATGGTCGCGGAAATGCGACTCGCAATTGGGACACACTACAGTTTATGCTGTTTTTGTGTGTCACAAAGCGATTGAGACATTTGTGTCTCCACAGGAATGCACCCTAACTCATGCTTTTCTGCCTCCGACGGACCCATCGACAGCATATAGGAGCGTGCGGCTGAGGAGTTTAGAAAGCATACGATCGCCAAGCAGTAAGTACGAGGAGTAGCCTAATTAAGCTATTTTAAGCTAATCATAAAAACGTATGGTTCTCCACACTTCAATGGAAAGAACGAGGAAAATGGTTCTTAAGTGGTTCTTAGATGGGTCCTATGCTTCGCGTTCTGTGGCGACTGGTGGCAGTAAGAATTATTCGTCGATTTTCATATTCTCATTACGTCGCGAAGGAACTATAAATTTTAACGGACGGCGGGTTCACTCGTTGTGCGCATGTTCAAGCGGTCACGCGATCTTGCACTTCCGCGCTATGCCTGATTTCCGCGTAAATGAATCTCACGATCTCGCCGTTTTACATCTAACCCTAGAAACGCCATGTCCGCGCTGCGGCTGACGCGCGCTCTGATGGCTCCATAGGGTCTACAATGACGTGCTCTGATGGCGAGCTTGGGGAGGTAACGAGTGATGCTTTGGATCATCTTAATAATCAAAATCAGACCCGGTTCCCCTTTCACTTCCCACCCGCTCCCATCCCCCTTCCCCCTCCCTTCGCCGTCACTCCATCTTTTCGCGATTGGTAGAAAGCATTTTTGCCTTCATCTCTCTTTCCTCATCTCCCCGTCGCTCGCTCCTCACCCATTCAAATTTTCGCTCGCATGCCGTCCCCCCTGCGCTCATCCCTCCCTTGCGCGCATCCCTCCCGTGCGCTGATCCATTTTTTCCCCCTGCGCTCACCGCTCATCGCCCCTGCAGTGAACCCTTCTCCTCCCTGCGCTCACCACTCGTTCCCCCTGCGCTGATCCCTTTTCTCCCCTTCGTTCATCCTTTTTTCCGCCCTGCGCTCACCTCTTATTCACCCACCGTTCATCCCTCGTCCCTCCTTGCCGCTCATCCCCCCTGCACTTGTCCCGCATCCCCTTGCTCCCATCACTCCCCCCTGTGCTCCCTCCCTCTCCCCCACTGAGGTACTTACGATGCATCTTCATCTGCTAGGTCTTCCGATTCCTGGCAGTGAGAACACCTGATTCATCCCTATAACCGTGCATCACCTCTTGGCCTGATTGGTTGTTGTGTTGTGGTTTGCCGGTGCCGTTTGTGTTCAGGAGAAGCAGACGCCGTTCCAGCCTTACCTGCATAAGCAGCTCCATAAGGTACGCCAACCCATTTCTTGCATTGCAACGCCCGTTGTACGCCAACCCATTTCTCCTGCGTCTGTGTGCGATGCATTGTCAGTCAGATTCTGCGATGCATGATTGGCCAATTGGTAGCAGGGCTGGGGAAAAGGAAGATGTTGTGTACGGAAGTGGCTTGTGGAGATGGTGTTGTGGGAGATGCGGGCCATTACTTGTTCTATCCTCTCATTCCTCACTCCGTTGCTACATTCTTATCTGTTTAGATCAAGTTGGAGAGGGCAACTCTTGGTTTATATGTGCCACTGTAAGATCCTTTTTCACCTCAATGTAATCTGATTGACGTCTGATAGAAGTGCTGTATGACAGGAGAGGAGACTAACATGGTGAGGAGAGGACAAAATACAGAGGACTACCGTAACTTGGTGATTGTCAAACCTTTGCCTGTTGATGATTCAGATAGGCACCTGTGTTCCTCTGTACGGTATTGCGTTATTATCTGTGGCTATGGTCAGGGCTCAGGTTTGGTTTTTACCTACTCACGATTAGCAGTGTAGACATTTTCAAAACCCTTCTGAGCAGTGTATCTTTTTTGGTAACACTGATGGATCAGTGTAACTTGAAGTTTTGAAAACTTTACCCAGAGGCATCAGTGTAGGTATATTTTTTTCCCTGATTGTACTGTAGGTGCTAGCAGCAACCAAGCTCGAGGCCCAAATTGCGCAAGATTACTATTACTGTGCAAGGTGGGCAATGGTGGGTGGGGGTTGTTGTGAAATTCGAGCGCAGTGGCTTGTCTGGTTTCGCTGCAACACTTGTTTTTTTCGCCGAGTCAGCAAGCTTCCCGGGGGGAACATGTGTTTGGGGACCTCGATCGAGTCCCAAATTTCGGAGTCGAGGGAGTTGAAGTTTTGCAGTGAGTGCAGCTTCGACCAATCAGGTTGCAATTTTTGCTTCGGGTAGGTTGCAAGCAGTCACTGAGTGACGCGGTGTCGGTCGTCAGTACTCACGTGCTGCCGTCGTAGTGCATCATTACGAATTTGGGTGTACCGTTATGAAATTTCGGAGACCCTTCATCTCGATAGGTAGAGTTTTCGAAGGGGGGGGGGGTGGTTCCCTGTACACGCTCTTCAGGGTAATCTTCGCTAAGGGAAATTTTACCCCAGAGCATCAGTGTGGCCTAAATCATTACACTGACATATCAGTGTAACACTAATCCCCCAAACTGAAAATTTCACCCTTCTTATCAGTATAGAAGTGTAAATTACACTGCAAACCTGAGCCCTGGCTATGGTGATGTATCGTGATGTGCTATTTGAGGAAAGAAAATATACCGTGTGTTAATTGCCAACCGCCACCAGACCAGAGTGTCTCCACCGCACAGGCAGATTGAGGAACGAAATGTCAAGGTAGAAATGCAGTGCAGGGACTGTTACAGAGGGTTACAAGTCACACAGCTTTTACGGTATGTACTGTGATGTGATGTGACGTGATGTGATGGGAGTCGTGACACTGAGTATATACTTGGAGATTACAATACAAAGCCACGGAAGCACTGCTAGCGGTATGTCATTACAACTCTGCTGTACCTAGTGAAGGAATCATATGCAAATAATCATACACTGTACCTGTTGCCTGTTGTCAATAAACTACTAGTTTGATGTCATACATATTGAGAGCATTGTGATTAGCTACAATATACTGTAATCAAGTGGTAAGCGATCTTTGTGGGGACAAGTGTTGGTGATAGTATTTGGGATGATGTGAGAAAGGGTTGAACTCCTCAGCTGAGGTGCTGGATGAGCTGTAATGTGAATCGCCAGACGAGCCGTGTGACGAGTCATGGGACGAGTCTTGTGACGAGCCGCCAGAACCGTCAGACGAGTGATCAGAACCGTCGGAAGCATGAGATGAGCTATCAGAGCCGTCGTATGAGCTTTCAGTTGAGCTGTCAGAAGAAGAGCCATCGGAGGATGAGAAGTAGAACACCACACAGCGCCTCTCGTCCGGAATGATGCTGTTGCCGTCACCTGTGTTGAGATTGAACGTTGCAGCATCGGTGGACACCTGCGCGGCACTGATGGGTAACCGGATGTAGCAGTTGGCTAGGTTGGCCGAGAGAATATCCATGATGTTTCGTGCGGTTAGCACCTGGGGGGTGGGGAAGGTGTGGATGAGAGGGGGACGGAGGATGTTACAACTCATGTTGTGTGAAAGCTGATACACGCAGGTGCGCAGACATGTGCGATGGGAGAGGCATGTGCGATGGGAGAGGCATGTGCGATGGGAGAGGCATGTGCGATGGGAGAGGCATGTGCGATGGGAGAGGCATGTGCGATGGGAGAGGCATGTGGGATGGGAGAGGCATGTGCGATGGGAGAGGCATGTGCGATGGGAGAGGCATGTGCGATGGGAGAGGCATGTGCGATGGGAGAGGCATGTGCGATGGGAGAGGCATGTGCGATGGGAGAGGCATGTGCGATGGGAGAGGCATGTGCGATGGGAGAGGCATGTGCGATGGGAGAGGCATGTGCGATGGGAGAGGCATGTGCGATGGGAGAGGCATGTGCGATGGGAGAGGCATGTGCGATGGGAGAGGCATGTGCGATGGGAGAGGCATGTGCGATGGGAGCGGCATGTGCGATGGGAGAGGCATGTGCGATGGGAGCGGCATGTGCGATGGGAGAGGCATGTGCGATGGGAGAGGCATGTGCGATGGGAGAGGCATGTGCGATGGGAGCGGCATGTGCGATGGGAGCGGCATGTGCGATGGGAGAGGCATGTGCGATGGGAGCGGCATGTGCGATGGGAGCGGCATGTGCGATGGGAGAGGCATGTGCGATGGGAGAGGCATGTGCGATGGGAGAGGCATGTGCGATGGGAGAGGCATGTGCGATGGGAGAGGCATGTGCGATGGGAGAGGCATGTGCGATGGGAGAGGCATGTGCGATGGGAGCGGCATGTGCGATGGGAGAGGCATGTGCGATGGGAGAGGCATGTGCGATGGGAGCGGCATGTGCGATGGGAGAGGCATGTGCGATGGGAGCGGCATGTGCGATGGGAGAGGCATGTGCGATGGGAGAGGCATGTGCGATGGGAGAGGCATGTGCGATGGGAGCGGCATGTGCGATGGGAGCGGCATGTGCGATGGGAGCGGCATGTGCGATGGGAGCGGCATGTGCGATGGGAGAGGCATGTGCGATGGGAGCGGCATGTGCGATGGGAGAGGCATGTGCGATGGGAGAGGCATGTGCGATGGGAGAGGCATGTGCGATGGGAGCGGCATGTGCGATGGGAGAGGCATGTGCGATGGGAGCGGCATGTGCGATGGGAGCGGCATGCAGGATGGGAGAGGCATGCACAATGGGAAAGATACATATAACAGGAGTTTTTGCAGAGAGAGCAGCAAGTCTCACCCACACTCTGTCACTCACATTGCTTTGGAAGAAAAAAGCGTTAGTAGCTGCTGCTGTTGTCTTGTCCTCCACTCCATCCCCACATATGATCTCTGCTGAGCCCACATTAATCACCACCACTCGTACTCCCCCTCCGCTATCCCCTCCCCCGTTATCCCCCCCTCCGTTAGTCTCCCCCCCACCGCTCTCCCCTGTGTTGACCTCTGTCGGAGCTATAGTCACTGTGGTTAGTCCATCTGCCGAGCCTGGATCCAGCAGCTGCTGTAGCGTGATGCGAGGTACGGTGGTTTCCGAACCTCCAAGGATGAAACCGCACAAGCTGGGTTCGGGAGGGCAGTTGGAGTCCGCGGGGGTTTCAGGTTCGGGAGGGGGTGGTGAAGGGGGAGGTTCGGTGGGCGGAGGTGAGGCTGGTGGTTCGGGAGGAGGTGCGTATGCAGGCTCGGGAGGAGGGGCGGCGGTGGGAGGTTCGGATTGTGGGGGTGGAGATGCTGGGGGGTTGGGGGAAGGGGGGGGCTCGGGGGGAGGAATCGGGGGGAGGATTGGGGGCATGACAGGGGGAGTTTCGAGGGGGGGAATCACTGGGGTTTCGGGAGGAGGGGCAGGGGGAAGAGCAGGCGGGGGAGCAGGCGAGGGGGACGGTGGGGGGGGAGATGGAGGGGAAAGAGGTGGGGGAATAGGGGGGATGGTTGGAGGGAGGGATGGCGGTGGGAGAGGGGGTGGGGGAGAAGGGGGAGGTGAGGGAGGGGGAGCAGGAGGTGGGGCGGGTGGGGGAAGAGAAGGGGGAAGTGACGCAGGGGGAGGGGCAGGAGGAGGGGCAGGAGGAGGGGCAGGAGGAGGGGCAGGAGGGGGCGCAGGGGGAGGGGAAGGTGGGGAGGCAGGAGGGGGAAGAGAAGGGGGAGGAGGCGGAGGTAGGGAAGGGGGAGGGGGGGAAGGAAGCGGCGGGGGAATAGGGGGAGGAAACGGAGGGGGAGAGGGTGGGGGAAGCGGGGGTGGGAAGGGGGGACGAGGGGGAGGGCTACTGGGAGGAGGGGGGAAGGGGGGACTGGGGGAGGGAGGCGGGGGTGTTTTGTTCCACTTGTACTTGAGTGGCTGGGACGTTGTGCCTGGAGGGATGCAGAGAGGGCATGGAGAAGGAAAGAAGACCAAGGGTTTAGGGAGATAAAGATGGGATGGAGGGAGGAAGGAACAACGATGGCAAAGGAGAGCTCTGCAAGGTTAAGTCAACATGATTACGTATCACACAACAGCACACCACTTTAAACCACGTCACACCTCACCAAATCCTACCCAAACCTAACCGAACTTACTTAGATACCCTACCTTATGCCACGCTCCCCTACCCTGTGAATTGCAAGCTGTTTGTGACATGGGAAGGGGAGTGGCACGTGACTGTGAGTGAACCAGTGTGAGGGTGAGTGTGAACCGAGTGAATGTGAGAGTGTGCGTGTGAGAGTGTGGCACAGCAGGGCGGCCTAGGAGTGTGGAAACCAGCCGGCCAGGCTGACTGGGTGAGAGGGTGAGAGGTTGAGAAGGTAAGAGGGTGGATTACAGTTCATGTCGGCCCATGAAATGCGGGAAGCAACGTTGTTGAAGTAGACATGCTTGTTGAACAGCCAGGGCGCTGGTGGTGGCGAGCAGGAGAGAGGGGAAGAGGCAACGACTTTTGAGACGTCTCAAAAACAGCCAGGGCGCTAGTGGTGAGAGCAGGAGAGAGGGGAAGAGGCAACGTGAACAAGGTGAAGGAGGGAATGGAGGGAGAGGGCAAGGAGGGGGTAGAGCAAAGAGGTTGAAGGGGGTGTGATTCTGATTCCTCATCATATCATCGTGTGAGTGCGTGTGGCGTGGCTTGTGGAATGGAATGGAATGGAATGGAATGGAATGGAATGGAATGGAATGGAATGGAATGGAATGGGTACATCAGGCAGGCTGCGACTCAAACAGGCCCGCCCCTACCTCCAATGATGGTGTGGGGAGTGTTGGTCAATGTCTTCTGCAGCGCGAAACACACTGTCCTGGGCAGGGCTGCTGGGTCCTGGAGGGGTGCAGAACGGTGGATGAGGGTGGAGATGGGTGGAGACGGGTGAGGGAGGGTGGAAGGTTGGCATAGCGTGGCTAAGGTAGGGAGGGCTGAAAGGGAGGGAATGGTGCGTACAAACATGCAGTGGTGAGGAACAAGCAAGCAAGCAGGTGAGGAGGAGGTCTAGTGTCACTCTTCAAAGTGTCACTAACGTAGTACCCAACCCAGGAGAGAAGAGAAGAGGAGGGGCTACTCACGGGCAGCAGGAGATACGTGTCCAGTGGTAACCACCAGAAGGCCCCGTTGGTGATACGGTAACCACTGATACATATAAGCCTTCACTCACGGGCAGCAGGAGATACGTGTCCGGTGGTAACCACCAGAAGGCTCCATTGGTGAAGTCCAGGCGGGCGAGAGGGAAGGAGGCCAAGAGCGCTGCGCGGGAGCTGGTGTGGTGTGGTGTGGAGTGAGGCAAGGAGAGGGAGGGGCGGATGGGGGAAAGGAGGTTGGAAGGGGAATGGGGCATGGAGGACCGGGAATGGGGGATGGGAGATGGGGATAGAAGGTGGAGGGGTGTGAGAATGGTCAGGAACAACCCCCAAGCGTTTTCTGCCCTCTACTGTCCTGCCTGCATGGTCAAGGAAGTGACATTTGAGTCGACTCAAAAGTCACCTCGTTCCATGCCCCATGGTCAAGGAGGAGCACACAGTGAGCCAGAGCATGGGGCATGGGACGACCTATAAGTTGAGTTCAAGTTACGAGGCACAGGGCGTAGGAGGTTGGTGGGTGGGTGGGTGGGTGGGTGGGATGATGTATGGCGGGGAGTGAGAGCACCGGGCGTGGGGCATTCGTTGGAAGTCACTCACGAAACGAGATGTTGACAGGGGCAGGCAGGTGGTAGCAGTCAGAGCAGAGAGCAATGACCGTGAGGCGTGAGGCATGGCGCGTGGGACATTCACCCTTACATGAGGCATGCGTGCCACTCCCGAAATACTCACAGTGGCAGGCAGGTCGTGGCAGTCCAACTGCACTGGCAGAGGCATGGGCATGGGCATGAGGTATGGCGCATGGACATGGCGCATGGGATGGGACGTACGCTCCTACAGCACTCACGAGATGTTGACAGTGGCAGGCAGGTCGTAGCAGTCCAGCTGCACTGGCAGGGTGGGCGGTGCTGTGGCTGTGAGCTTCGCACCGGGTACCAGCAGCAGCACCTGAGCGCGCAACACAACAGAATCTCGCGCATAGAACATGGATTCTTCAGTACGGAACGGTGCTGCACAGGCGGAATGGAATGATGCACAGGATAAACTCAGCCGACCATCAGCCCAGGAACACTTGCTGCTGTGCTATATGGATACACACAATTAGTTTCACTCTCCTAGAAACCTTGCCCTTTTGAAAGCGTGAGGCTCTGAGGAACCTGACTAATGCCTCATCTTGCCCACCCCAGCGCCTCACCTTGCCCACCCCAACGCCTCACCTGTTTGACAAAGGCATTGTAAGCGGTGGGGGGCAGAGCAGTGAGGGGCGCAGAGGAGCTGATGACAGCTCCCCGGCCCTGCTCTGGCACCGACTCCCATGTCATGCCTGGCAGCGGCAGTGGCTGTGCTGCCACCTGCAGCGATGCTATGGCCACGTAATAGAGCTGACTGGCGGGTGGGAGGGAGGGGGGCGGAAGGGAGGTTGTGGAGGTGTGTGGCTTGGGCAGGGGCAGTGGTAGCGGCAGCTATGCCGCCACCTGCAGTGATGCTATGGCCACGTAATAGAGTTGACTGGTGGGCGGGAAAGGGTAGGGTGGGGGAGGTGGGAGGGTGTGACAGGTGCAATGGCGGTGGCGGTGGCGGTGGCAGGATGGCAACCCGCATGCACCCGCACATAATCCGCAGGCTAGAAACAGACCCCATCCCAGCACCTACGTTGCTAAATACGAGTACCGAGTATAATACGTTAGCGTATTATACGCTTGGTATATACGCGGTACGCCAAGGCTGGCGTACTGCTGATACGCAAAAATACGCTGGCGGGCAGCTAAAACTTTTTTTCCCGGGCAGGTATAAAAAAACCTGTTTCAGGGGGGGGTTCAGGCCGACAACAACACATGTCAATATTTTATTTCATAAATATCCAGAAATACATAGTTCATCCACATAATCCCCACCCTCTAGCGAGCTTCCCCACAGCCTATTTCCTTGCGGGGCTTTTCCACCACCACCCCTTCCCCATACTCATCCGCCAGCACTGCATCATCTCCTTCCCCCCCCAGCAGGTCATCCTCCTCCTCCTCGTCCATGTTGTAGCCGTGGGGGATAGGGGCATCCGGGATGTTCCCGGGCACAACCGTGCTGGCCCCATCCTTGTTGTACCAATTGCGCACAACGTTCCAGTTGTGCGCAATGTAAACCAGGTCCGCACACTTGAGTAAACATAGGAATGAAGGATAGGAAGGCGTCAACGAGTAAATGCTCACATGACGTGCTGGACATTTGAGAGGGGTGGTTGGATATGAGAGGTTTGGTGGGGTGGTGTGTGGTTGGGGTGGTGGGAGGTTTGGATTCTGAAATTTGAATTTCAGACGTGGGTTGGGCGATGTGCTTGGTCGCGTAACCAGTCGCGAAGCCCTAATAACCGTCGCAAATTTTTTTCAATTTCGATTTTTTTTTTCGCCGGGCTGCCCGCGCGTTTTTTCACGAATTCGAAGCGTATTAGCGTACCACGTACGTACGCAATCGTATATACGTGGTACGCCACCCTACCCAGAGCGTATTTGGCAACGTAGCCCAGCACGCGACCCACTCTCCAGGTTAACACATGGAGGGTTGGGTAGGATCAGTAGAGGAACAAACATCCATGCACCAACATCAGACCCCATCACGCTACGCACTCTTCAGGTTGACCCAGCATGGGGGTGGAGGAGGTAGGTTTGACGGCAATCCCTGCTGCTGCTGCATCCCCCAGCAGCAGCCTCCCGCCACTGCCTGCTGCTGCGTCACCTTCAAAACACAGTCCCACCGCATCCAACCGCTGCGAACCCAATTGGGCTCCCGACACTCCTGTTGCCGCTGATGCTGCTACTGCTGCTGATGCTGATGCTGATGCTGATAACACCACCCCCTGTGCTGCTTCCTCTGCTGTTGCCTTTTGTGTAAAACCTAGGGATTCTTGCGCTGCTGATGCTGCTCCTCCCCATCCTTCTCCCCCTCCCCCAGGGTAACCCTCAGCTGCTGCGGCAGCAGGGGAGGCGGGGAAAGGGGCGACGAGTTGCGAGGGGAGGGAGGTGGCTGAGCGGGAGAGGGAGAGGAGGCCATCGGGGTAGAGAGAGGAGGAGAGGGCTGATGCCTCCCCGTCCTGCTGTGCACAGCTGAGGGAAGAGGGAGAGGAGGAAAAAGGGAGGGGAGGGGAGGGGAGGGGGAGGGAAAAGGGAGGGGAAAGGGAGGAAAAGGGAGGAACGAGAAAATGGGAGGGTAATATGTATGGAGGGGGAGGAGAGGGGGGTTTGAGAGGAGGGGAAGCCAGTGTGGACAATGATAAGATAAGGCCTGGCTGTTTCACTGAAATGGGGTAGACACAGAAATGGGATGCATGCAATGCAGGCTGCAGCAGACGGTATGCTATGCCACACCATGCCACACAATGTCATACCACAAAATCAACTCCCCCCGAAAGCCCCCTCCCCCCCCGGCTTACCCAAAGAGCACAGACTGAGACAAGCCACCTCCCTCCCCCACTCCCCCCGGCAGCAGCACCACGTCTTGCACGACAGTGCCCACGAGACTTCCCCCCAGGGCGCCCCCCGAGAGCAGAGGCAGGTTGAACTGGCAGGAGAGGTCGGTGGCGTTGACTAGTGAGCAGCCAAAGCCGTTCCCAAGCAGCTGGCACTTGTCAGGAGATATGCACGGGATGATGGCTGCTGTGGTGCTGAGAGGTACTGCGAATGGTGGGCTGGGGGTCTGTGAGGGGGGGTGGGGAGAGACAGGGGGGAGATGGGGAGAGAGAGGGGATAGGTGGGGGGATGGAGTGGTCTTAAGGCGCTTCAAAACGTGAAGCCGCTCCCGAGCAGCTGGCACTTGTCGGGGGAGACGCACGGGATGATGGCTGCTGTGGTGCTGAGGGGTACCGCGAATGGTGGGCTGGGGGTCTGGGGGAGGGGGAGAAGGGGAGATGGGTAGAGGGGAGAGAGAGGGGAGAGGAGAGAAGGGCAGGGTAGAGAGGGTAGAGGAGGGGCCATAACTTGAAGCAAGGGATGCTTGCATGAGAAAGTAAACACGCATCCGCATGCTGAACTGAGAGAGTGCAGTGCATGGTGCAGCTGTGTAAGCACGATGAGATGCGGTGAAGCATGGTTGTGTGCAAGCTTGAGCAGGTGATTGGATGGCGTAAGCCTCCAAACATAACCACTTTACATCATTTCATAACACCCCTTTTTGCCTAACCCCTCCCCAAACACAAGCCTGGTGCAAGCCCAGAAACCCCACATGCAGGACAGGAGGAGGGGGACGCACCGGGGCGTTGGGAGCAGCAGGGATGGAGGGAGGGGAGAGGCGGCCGGAGACAGCGCAGGAGGCGCAGAGGCAGGGCACGGCAATCATGGCTGCTGCTGTTGCCACCCCCACCTGCAGCGCCTGCTGCTGCGAGCCCAGCTGAATCGCTGTGTAGAACGCCCTGATGGACGGAGGGATGGGGGAATAATGGGTGCATGGATGGGAAGGAAGGAGGGAGGGAGGGAGGGTGGGAGGGAGGGAGAAAGGGAGAAAGGGAGAAAGGGAGAAAGGGGGAAAGGGAGAAAGGGAGAAATGGAGAAAGGGAGAAAGGGAGAAAGGGAGAAAGGGAGAAAGGGAGGACAGAGCCAAGGATGGGCCTTGGCTGGGCCATGCAAGGCCCAAATCAATTCAAGCGCTTGAGTGATGAAACCATGTGAGCTTGAGAAACGGAAGAAGAGCGCACCTGAGAGGGCCTAGGGAGCGACGATCCAAGGCAGCTGCGAAAGAGGAAGTCGCTGCTGCTGCTGCTGCCTGGCGCCAGGATACACGGCCGGGAAGAAAAGGGGAGGAGGGGGGGAGAAGGAGGGAGAGGACAGGGGGAGCGGAAGGGGAGGAAAGGGAAAGGCATGCACGAGGGTTGGGCTTCCCGGAGTGGCAAGGATGACGTGCGTGCGTGCGGCGCGTGTGTATGGTATGTGGATTACATATTTGTGGAGTTGCTCTGACTAGCAAGTATGTTCCAACGGCAAGGAGCGTGTACCTGTAGCGTGTAGCGTGGGGAGGGAGGGGGGGGGGGGGGGGGTGCTGTAGCGTGTACCTGGGCGATCAGCTGCCGTGGTGCCGGTCTGTTCTTCAATGGGAGGGATAAAGAACTGACAACTCTTTTGCCGCCGCCGCCGCCACTGTTGTTGCTGCGGCTGCTGCCAGTGTCAGCAGGGTTCTTGGGTTGACTGGTTGGGCTGCGTTGACCAGGTTGACTGCGTTGACTCCAGGGCGGCTTCCATTGCTGCACGCCTCTCTGCCCGCTCCTCCGTGCCTGCCCACGTGTGCTGTGCCCAGACGCCACGTGGCTGCTGCTGAACCTGAATCCTCCTCCCGTCCCTCCTCCTTCGCCTCCTCGCGTCCCTCCTCCCTCTCCTACGCTCCAACCACTCGCACCAGTAAAAGCCAGTGCCTGGCCTTCTCTCCCTTCTCTCCCTTCCCGCACTCCTCTCTCTCCTTTCCCCTCCCTCTCTTCTCCCCCTGCACCCCACGCCTCCTCTCGCGCCACTCCTCCTGCCCGCGCGCCGTTCCTATGCGCCGCCACCTCGTGGGCGCGGTCGCCGCCAGACGCCAAGCTGCGCCTTTCGACCTGATGGCGCGGGGAGGGGAGCACACGGGCGGGAGGGAGACGGGCGGGGGGTGAAACGGACCGAGAGGGAGGCGCGCGGAAGAGCGGGGGAGCAGGCGGAGAGCGTCACATGGGGAAATCAGGGCGAAATTGAGAGTGCGCGAAGGAGGGGCGTCGGCGGATGGCGACGATACGCGGACCTATGCGTGAATCTGTCCGCACGCTCGGGCGTGGATGCACACTGTGCATACCACGCAAATATAATATGACGGGACTATACTTCTCGACAGCGGACACTGTTAACAGTCGCGCTAAAGAACGCCAACACCGCGCGCCACGTACCCGCGGCCATTGAGGAGCCTCTGTCCGCGCGCTGCTTCCCCCCGTCGCCTCCCGCTTCTCCCGCCGCATCAGCACCGTCAACTGCGCCGCCATCTGAATCAGTGCCAGTGATAGCGCCATCGCCAGCACCGCCACGACCAGCGGCGCGCGCGGAGAGCCTACCGCGCGCGCACGCGCGCGGGGGACTCCGCGCTGTGCGGGGGGAAGGGCGGTAGGCGCCATTGCACTACGGAGGGTGTCTGCCCTGCGGCTAGCACTGTTGAGCGGCGATGACGCACGAGCGTTGTCTATAACGAGCGGCCTAAAGCTTCTGTAACGTGAGCCCGAAATGCCGGCGTCCTAGCGTCATTGTAGGTGAAAGTTACTAACCAACAAGGCTCATTCTAGACCAAGACTGTAGGGTCAACAGTGCAACGAGCGACTAACGAACGAGCGAGGAGGAATCAGCGACAGTGAGGCGAGGTAGAATGACCAAGGGAATATCGCGGCTGGAGATGGTACATGCGCTGGCCAAGCCGCACCAAAACTGTGCTGAAGCAGGCAATTGGTTTGGCTTGGGGCAGGTGTACCGGTATTCGATAGAGGACGTCGGCGGGACGAGAGGAAAGGAAGTGTGGAGGTTGAAATGTGGGAAACCAGGATAATGTTTGAAATATGAAAGCATACATCCTCTTGTCACTATGTTTGACAGGTCCTTTTTTACCTGAAATTTAAGAGGCAAAGTATTATAAATTACCATTATCTATCAAAGCTTGAAGAAACGACTATGTGCAGCAGTTATACTTTCAATCCAAACTTCCGCCCTAAGCTCTAGAGTGACACGTTCAAGTATAGCTAAGAGTGCTTTTGTGAAAGAGTATTCTTTGTTTGTAAGGATTTACAAATCCCTACTGAGGCACTCGTTAGCGAGGTCATCCCGAGGGCCATGCGACTAACTGGTTCGGCCTACAATTTCGCATCCAAACCTCACCGAGCCGCCTCCACACCAATCGCGACCCTTCGCGAGCCAACCTTTCCCCACCTCCCCGCCTAGCTAGGACTTCCCGTGTGTATCGTCATTCTGTAATCCATCATTCATGTTATTCGTTATTCTGCGCACTTTGCAAGTTCATTCATAACACCTGGTATCAGAGCTACTTTCCTAGCCTACCCCGCTTTTCAGAGTGTAATACCCCTCAGGAGGGGACAAGGAAGGATGTCTTGGGGTTCAGGAGTTGCGTAGTCCGGCCAGGAGAACTAGTTAGTTGCTCCTCGCGGCTATGTTTTCACGGGTACTCCTTCGGCACCGCCAGATCCTTGCCTTCGACGGTCGCGATCGACCGTGGCCCCCTTCCCCCCGGGCAACGTGCAGCTGTGGTTGTCGCGACATTAAAACGTGAATTATTATTCCGCTGCGATTTACCGACGATTTCGGAAGTTCTGTGTGGCAGCTGGCGTCAGCGGACCTGCGTCGGCACCTGCACGAAATTTTCGGAAGTCGTCACGATGAGTGGCAGTTGACGATGTCGGACCTGTGTCAACAGCTGCGCGACAATTTCGGAGTTCGTCCGATGCCGCAAGTTACGACGGTGGCTCGTCGTCATTTTGCGCACATGACTCGCGGCAGCTTGCGACAACGGACGTGCGTCACTGTGGGCGACATTTTCGGAGCAACTGTGGAGAAAAAGTCGGCTGGGGAACTCGCCAGGCGCAAATGGAGATTTTGCGTCCGAAAATATCGCTGGCGAGGAGAGACGACACGAGGACTGCCCAACTTAGCGGGGGTCAACTGCCGTCCCGCCCGTTTGATAGTGCAGCGGTTTTTACTGCATGGCTGGCGCGTCATCGAATATTTCGGCAGAAGTGCTCGTGGACAGACGGGACTTCAGACTCGCCGACACTTACGGGCTGCTACAAAAAGCGGAGTGGCCGTATCGCACTTAGCAGAAGTGGGACGCAGGGAACGAGGGAAATTGAGGCAGGTACACCTCGTAAACAACTCGTGCGACACTACGTGCCTGGTGCTATTGCAAGCTGGCCGGCAGTATCGAGAGCGGTTTCTCCTAACGGAATTCGTTTTTGGGGACAGCTGCTGACAACCCACGATTAAACGACGTCCAAGGTATCGCCCGACAATTTCGGAGGGGTCGGTACAGGCTGCCGGGATACACGGGAAGAAACGGCCCAACGGCTAAGTGGGAGTTGAAGAACGTTGCGGGGAGCAGGTTAAAAGCCGGTGGAATTGATCCGCGCCCCTACTTCGCCCGAACCTCACCATCCCCACCAAGTTTTAGTTTTGACTCATGCAGTCAACTTACTTGGCCGAATAACGGGGGTGAACACGTGCCTACCCTGTGCTGGTTAAAGGCACCTGGATTGGTGCTCGTTCAACAGCTGTACTGAATATACAAAAAAAGTGGAGCTCGCGGCACTGTTCTACTCCGACAAAAGCGAGCTGGGTCAACGGCACGCGAAAAAATCGGGGCGCCGCAAGGAAAACATTGGTGCAGTTTACGGATTTCTCCTGACCTGGGCGTCTACACGATTTGATGGCGCAGCGGCGAAGCTGAGACCGGGAAGCTGTGGAGTTTTCGTGGCGTGATAGGCACGGCGGGCTGCAAAACGGTTGGGCGATAGTTCCTTTTAACTAAGGCTGCCCCGACTCCGATAGTTTTTGCCCCTCCGCCGTGGCCGAGTTCGCGCAGGCAACAACGACGATACCCCATCCGACAAGGGCGGACGCTGGGTGAGCAGCGCAGGCGATATTGCCGGGGTTTGAAGACAAAAAAAATGACGGATGGAAAGTTGTGGGTGATCCAGCAGATCCCTTGAGTGCGGTTGAGCTCGTGCACCACTCCACCACGAATTTCGGAGTCTATTCGGTAGACTCCCGAAAGGGTTTTATATTGTGACATGGAGGCGCGGCGAGGGGTGCATCGCCAATGATACATAGGATTCGCTAAGTGGCTTCGACGTGTATGAAGATGGGTGAACATTGGAGTACCAGGGTTGACGGTGGAAACGTCGAGGCTACACGGCGGAGAAAACTTCGGGACTGCAGCCTCAACCACGATTTTCGAGGTTATTTTCCTACAAAATACAAAAAAAAAGAGAGTTGAAGCTGAGGGTGTTTCTTCGCTTCTTGGAGTGCGGTTGAGCCGTTGGGGGACTTCGCCTGAAGGGTCACTTTTAAGTCGCCTGGCAAGAAACACAGCGTCGGGGAAATCCAGAACCCACTGGTGTTTAAACGTACGCCGCGGGAAATTCTTCAGTAAAAGGGAGCGTGGGAGTAGCCGAAGTTTCGGGATTTACCTGCAGGCGTCGAACGATCGGTGAGACATTGCAAAGCGCAAGTGGGAGTTTTCGTGTTACTTTGTTAAGACATCATCGGCGGGAGCAGTTTCGACGACGGGGTCAACGGCGTTGATGCCTCTAGGATCCATGAAAGTCGGTCTCGGAATACCCTGGTCTAGTCCCTGGTTCCAGATTATGCCCCCAGATGGGTTCTGGTGGACTAACGGAAACAGTTGGTGACTGAGTGGGCGGCTATAGTACGACCGAAGATTTCGGAGGAAAACTACACATGAAACTGCGGATTTACAGGGTTGTGTTTCGACCGACATTTACGGAGTTACGTGAGACCAGTTATCCGGCGAGGAGCGCCGACATTTTCAAGGCATTACTTTGACATTTGGTTAAACGCGTGCGAAAACAACTTTCGGGCAACATCGCGGGAACTACACGGAGTTTTCAAGGGGTACGAACGACTTACGACAAACTGAAGAAGACGGCAACAACAGTGAACGGGGGGAGACAGCTGTGAAATTTCATCCCTGCCCACGAACTATCGGCAGATTACGACAACACTCTCGGAGAAACCATTCCAACTCTGCTACTGACACCTCGCCTTCAACCCGCCCACGACAACTGCATTATTTCTCAGGACGTGGGCCCAATCGAGTTTGATCACGACTGATCTGATCGGGTTGGATCTGATCGGGTTCCTTGTGATCGCAGTGCCCGAGCCGCCTGATCAGTAATGTTTTTCGAAGAAGGTTGTCAGCGCCTGCTCAGCAAGCGCGATATATCTACCTAGCAATTTCGTCCCCATTCTAGCGAGATTGGCGACCAGACGTCACCTAAATCTTAGTTTCCCTGTAAGAGCAACAGTGTAACTAGTCTCAAGCATCACTGGGGGCCCCGATCACAAGCAATTAGGTGATCACCTGTGATCCAGTAAAATTGGCTCTGATCGGGCTGAAAATTGGGTCTGATTGAGTTGGAGCGATTAGCTTATCGCGATCAGCTGATTGCCCCCGATTGCCTGAAATTGGCTTCCAGGCTTCCTGGAAGTTCTTGATTGCGTGTGGTCGAGGCGATCAAACTCGATTGGGCCCATGTCCTCAGCCACGTCAGGTGCTGCCAGCTGCAAGGGCTGAAGATATCGTCTGATTTTTGGCGATGTGAAGACAAAAACGTTCAGTTCGAATACTCCATATTTTCTGGTTCGGTTCCTGGTCTACAACTGATGGTTCGCCCTCGACGAATTTTGGGGCACGTAAAACCTGGTTTCGACATCGTTTTTTGTTACAATCCCAAGTGGGACTTAGCGAAGGATCGCTCAGGGTTGATCGCATGGTAGTGTTGCAGCGGAAGTAGTGAACTCAGGTCAGAGTGAATGTAAATGACTGAGATGATAATAGCATGCATACATCGATATGAATACAAGGGAATACGAAAAGACCTAGACTAGCCATGTACTCTAAGGGGTACATTCCCTTATTGCAGCGAATCAAAATCGTGCGGCGCGGGAACCCGTTTTGAACCTGTTCCCGCTCTTTTCATTTCAAATGTTTCTGCCTGCATTGGTCTTCATCAAACGGTTCCTGCGTCGCTTCGACTCTTCTGGCTCCTCGACTTCGTACTCGTCAGAGTCGGCCCCTGCAGCATACAGGAATGCCTTCTCATTTGATTTCATATCGTAATACTCCCCTTCATTCCTGGGCGCACAAGGGGCTGACTCACTTGACTACTCCGGTGAGGTCAGAGCAGTGCTTGTACTGCTGATGTGGCAGTCGCTTGGTGAGAAAGTCTGCTGCCATCTCTGTGGTTGG